TGAAAAATCAAGATTTTCAGCAATATTCTTTTCAATCAATAGGGTTCCTAAACTTGAAAGTCTATCCTGCGACATTGTTGACCGCAGATAGGTTTTTATTAGTTTCATTTTGGAAAAGCTTCTTTCTCCACTCGCTACAGTGACAGGTATTGTTAGCAAAATTTGCATTGCAATCCATGTGTTTGGAAACAAATCTTGCATTTTGTGCTGTTTTATAAAGTTTAAAACAATAATAGGAGTAATTTTATCCTTGACCATTTCAGAAAGAAAAGGTTTAATGCTCATCAGTTCATCGCAAAGGAGAATACCATTAATGTCCGATTTTAGATTTACGGTAAGTTTACTTTGAAGAGCTAAACATGATTTTAGAATTTCTTCTCTTTTTTGCAAAGTATCGACATAATACAAAAAACATCAAACTTCAGAATAATTCTCTAACTGTATAAATCTTTTTCTCATTGAAATTAAAGATGTGTCTAAAAGAGGATTGAAGAAATCGATTTCTAATTTTTTTTCAGGAGAAAATAAATAAATCCCATCTTGGGCTGGTTCGTCAAAATGGCGTTTCACTCCTATTATTCTTTTAAGTGGTTTAAAAACAGGCTCCACTTGTAATTCTATAGCCAAATCCTTTGCTTTTATAATTGCATCTTTAAAACCACATTTTCTATAGTTTTCTAAAAATGAACAACAGCTTTTCAATAACTTTGCACATTGAGTGATGTCCATGTCTTTTTCTTGAAGAGTTTTACTAATAATATTGACTTGAAAAAGAACGTCATACCAGACAATTAAAGAGACAAGAAAGCTAAAATCTTTTAATTGCTCTCTTAGAGCAATTAAAAGATTTTAGCTTTCTTATCGCTTTATGTGCAGTTTCAGGATACATCCTTCAATTTCTGACAATGCTATCAAAGCGTCATGTACATCACCAACTTGATAACGAACGGCTTTAACACTACTTATTTTTGCTTCCCACCGCGTGTCACAGAGTTTCTTTAAATGCAAAATTTTAACATGATCAACTAAAGTTTTCCATTGGCTCACTGAAGCTGAGAATAGAGTAAACAATCTCTGAAGAATACCGAAAAAAGCTATAGATTTTACTGAAGACCGTGCAGAGTCACTTATTACCAAATTTAAGCTATGGTTGCCGCAAGGAACATATAATGCTAAAGGATTAAGATTTAAAATCCTTTTTTGTACACCATTAATCTTTCCTTTCATATTTGATCCATTATTATACTCTTGACCTCTGCAGCTAGAGATTTCAAGTCCATGCTTAGTTAGCAACTCGATTAAAACCTCAGTAAGTCCTAAGCCTGTAGAATCAGAAACAGAAAAGAATCCTAAAAAGTACTCTTTAATTTCCACTTAATGTCTAATGACAAGTCAACAATTCGATTAGTAAGAGAAAGTTGTTCTTTTCTAGAAATATCAGGTGTACAATCAGCAATGATTGAATAGTAAACGGCTTTCAAGACTCGGTTTATTATTTCATCATTAACCTTTTTAGACATTAAATCTATTAACTCATTATCAATATTTTTCCCGCAATAATGGTCTGAAGTGTCACCTTTTATTGCAAGTGCTAAATGCTTTTGCATCACAGGATCAAATTTTGCAAGCACCTGTATTAGTCCTAAGATATTGCCGTTTTGAGGCGTAAACAATTTCAGCTAGGTAAAGGGTGATATTCATCAGCCGAAGAAGAACATTTTGCCATCGCAAACTATCTTTTTCTATAATTTTAATTTCTTCATTATCTATAGTTTTTCCAGTTTTTAATCTTATTTCAGTTTCTACCCACTGTTGATAACATTTCATATGAGAGACGCTGTTTTCATGAATTCCCAATGTTTCAGTTAAATGTCTCTATTTCTTGAAACCATCAGAGACTAAGTTTGACTTTGAATTATTATCAAAAAGTAGACAGCAAAAACAAAATACGGAGTTTTTAGAATCTGAATAAACCAACCATCTACGGCAAAAGGTTTCTCCATTCGCAAGCTTTCTATTGTAATAAATGCTAGAAAAATGTCGACCATTTCTATCTTCAGGGTATTTTTCCTTTGTAATTTGAAAAGGACCAAGTTTGATTAAATGGTCCACAAAGTTGCTAGATCGAACAATTGGCCAATTTCCACAATCCAATAAATTAGGTGTTTCTTATAAAAAATCTTCCGATAAATCATTCGATTCTTTTAAAATATATGGTTCATTAGCTACTTCAGTTTGCAATGAAGTTATACAACTATTTTTGAGTATTGTTGAAGGTTCTCCAATTTTATTGGACATATTCGTAGAAATAGTTGAAGCATCAGGGTTAAAATCTTCACGACCTTCGTCAGGTTTTTTATAAGCAACATATTTTTCAAAGCTCGTGAATTTTTAAATTTTTTCAAATTTTTGATCTTTAACGGACTTTCTTTTTCTGTACTCATAACCAGACAACTTTTTTTCTCGAATTTGAAATTTTATGTGACATGAGACAGAATATTTTTTAAGATAAAATTATTTCTACAATTAAAAAAAAAAAAATTTAACAAAGTTCTCAAAACACATTCATAAAATTATTAAAGAAATAAAAAAAATATATATATATATATATATATACATTGTTTATTAAAAAACAGTACTTTTCCTAATATAATCTGACTTTGATGGCGTTTTTGTAGCCCTAAAGCCACTTTCATACAGATATATATATATATATATATATATATATATATATATATATATATATATAAACAATTATATATATATATATATATATATATATATATATATATATATATATATATATATATATATATATATATATATATATATAAACAATTTAAAATGTATTTTATAAAAACTGTGCTCAATGTTCTTAAAAGATCAGAGCAATTACAAAAAAAAAAATTATTTTTATATATATATATATATGTATGTAAATAAAATGATGCCTTTTTGAATAATTTATTATAATTGTTTCACAATATTGGGCTTTAGCATAGGCAGTTGTTTTATTATGTTGGGTAAAAGATGGTTGGTTATTTTGGCCAACTAGTACTCATGCAATGAAAGCTGCTTATAATAATTTTTCAATTAATTTTTGATGATTCCTGGAACTAGGTTTTAGTTAAAACAATTAAAGTAACTGTAGATCATTAATTTTTATACTACTTATAGCTATTTTAATTTTTTTAATTTTTATTTTGTTTTTTACAGTAATCAATGCAACTTCCACATAAATGTTTAAAATTGATGAAAGGAAGCACACCAGGTTTTCCTATGCTGACAATAAACATTGCTGCAGCCGAAGCAGCATTTTGAACCTATTTTTTTAAAAAGTGCACAGTGAGTTCATCTACCACATTCTGTGCTAATTTGTTCCATCGCCTTATAACACTGTTTTTAAAGAAGAAATTTAACTTTTTGTAACTGATGAGCTATTTTGTATTGCAGTATAAGGTCATTGCGAATTCTGCGTTCTTTCAGCGTGGTTAGATCTAGTATTTGTATTTTTTTTTCGTATTTAAAATGTTTAATTGACGATATAGTCTTTGTTGCACATTTTTGCATACGTTCGAGAAGAACTATTTCCATTATAAGATGTGGTCGAACGTATAGCTAGTGCAATTTCTTCCGAAGCTGGAGGCTACCAAATGTCTTTTTGGGGAAACCAACCATTCCATTTTTGGCCAAAGCTGCTGCTTTTACTTGTGTTTTCACTTTGAGGTTGTCGGATATTGTATCCCAAGGTCACGCTCAATGCATGTTAGAGAATATGTCGGTTACCGTTGATGTCAGCCATAGTATAGATATGTATTGATTTATTTTTGCGGCAACCAAAGTGCATTATTTTGCACTTCTCTATGTTGAAGTGCTTAAGTCAGTTATGTGACCAACTTACAGCGCTGTCAATGTCCGTTTGCAGTAATTGTTTTATATGAAGAGAAAAAGCTATTATTGTTTTATATTAAAGTTGAAATACTATATCAAATAAACTACTTTATTTTAATTTTAGAATAAGTAAAATTTCGAGTCTTTTTATTTTAATTTTATTTCCTAGATATATATCATAATCTTTTTACACTTGCTCTACATCATAGGTTTTACATTTTTGTTTGTTTGTTTTACTAAATAATTACTAATAAATAAAGAAGTATGAGAAGGATTTAATTTAACAACTTATTGAGCCATCTTGAAAAAATTTCATTTTCAAACTCGTTTTGTTTTTATATCAATAAAAAACTTTAATTGACATTTGGTTTCTTTTGTTTTTAAAACGATAATTTAAAAGCAGCATAAGTTACATTGAAATTATTTTTATAAATATAATTATATCTTCGAACAATTATTTAATACAAATAGCTATTATGGTTTCAGTAATGTATTAAGAAAAATACTTTTAGTTGTTAGTACAGCGCAAAACGAAATATATTACGTAATTCTTTTTAACTACTGTTAAAAGTAGCATATTTTTTCAAAATACACACATACAAAGATATTAAATTGTAATTGGTTAAACTTTATAATTTAATTGATATACCTCCTGCAAAACTGTTACAACACAAATGTTATAAATAACCTTCGGTTATTTATAACATTTTGACATTATTTACGAATTTTTTGTTTGCATGAATTAAATACCAATAAATATAAAAGTTGTTCAATTTAAAATTATCACCTTTTTATTACGAGTTTTTTTGTCCTATATCTTAGTTGCATTGAGCAGCTATTCAACAATCATGGTATTCAAAATGACAAAGAAATTCAATGCCTTTTTGACTCAGTATCGGTTTTGCGAAGTCGTTATTCAAAACAAAGGTTTTGCAACAAAATACTAAGCGTGATTAGTACTAAATTAGACTAATTTTTATAATTGTATTTTCAAAATATTGACTTTGTTAATGTTTAACTTTAGAAAATTTATTATTATTCTAGAATCAAATTAAAAAAGAATTACATTAACAAAGTTAACAAATTTTTTTAATTGTTAGTAATAATACCTTTAGGTTTGGAACCAATTTCATTTATCGCTTTATTGAAGATTTTAAAATTTTCAGATGTTTGGATTAAATCATCTTCATCCTGTAATCAAATTTTTTTTTTAATGTAAATATCATAATTACTAAGTGTAAATTGCACTCACGCTTAGTTAATAAGCAAATTAAATCTTTTATAATATCTGTAACTCTAAAAATATTTACAAATAAAACTGCAACAATAGCAAGACCATTTCGAAATGGATCTTCAAATGCTGACTTATTTGTTGGCCGTTTTCTATTTTTAGCATGTTCATAAGATCTAAAATCCACATTGTCCCAGAACACAAATTGTACCTAAAATTGTATATAAATATTATATTCTTCGATTAGTTTAAAAACCATTAATTTGTTTAGTTTTAAATCTTAATAAAATTAATTTATTTAAAAAAATATAAGCTTCAATTTACTTCTAATGGATATTTTTTGCCATTAATATGATGTTCTGAACCTCTATCTGACTCGCATCCAAAGTGGAAATGAACTTCATGTAATACAAATCTGTTTACAAGTCCTGCTGCTTCTAATGTAAGTGGTGGATCAATATTTAATAGCTTTAGAACATTGCCATTGTTTTCAAGAACAGCATCTTTAAATGGTGTTGAAGGGGATGGAAAGGATATAATGACCGGTTTCCATTCTTGCATTCTTGTTGTCCCCTTAGTTTTAATATTTATTGGCGATTGAAATTTATCAGAAGAACTTTGGCAACTTCTGTAAATTTTATGCCAATTTTGTGGCCCTTAAATAAAAAAAATGTGAGTCTTTTGAAATATATTAACTTTATCGCATAAAAACTCTTTAGTTTTAATAAATCAAGATAAGTTTTAATAACTTACCAACTTTTGAATTGTCGTCGTACGAATAATGTGAAATAGATGATGCAAATGTTTTAATTGGTGGAGCTGAGAAATACAAATACAAACATTTTTTTAATTTTATTTTAAATATTGATTTTCTACTTAACTCTTCGTAAAAAAACAAAGATTATTTAAAAACTAAAAAAAAATTCTTGACATTGAAACTAGTTATGTAAACCATAACCAACTTCTTAGGTCATTTTTAAAAAGATCAAAGTATAATTATCTAAATCAAATAACAAAGATGAAAAAAAAATATCCTTTTGATCAAATAATGAAGCATTTACATAATCATCAAAGTAATTATCGTATTATAAGGAAGTCATTGAAAAAATGCCGATAGATAAAATATTACAAAACTTCTCAAACTTGGCAATAACTGTTCATTAAAAATTTGCAAGTAAAATTTTTGGAAATTTTAAAATATAGTATTTGGTCATTTCTTATTCCGCGTTTGTATAAAGTTTTTAGACCCAACTTAGCCAGACGTAATTTATAACTCAGGTTCCGTAACTGAAAAAGTAACTTAGTAGCTCGTCTCTGTACTTGTTCAAGTTGTTTAATGTCTTTTTTAAGAAATGGATTTTAAACTGGTGCGCAGTATTCAAGCAGAGGACGAACATAAGATGTGTAGAGTTTGAGAAACATACACACATTCTATTTTTTAGGTTTTCTTAAGCATTCCTAAAACCATATTAGCTTTTTGTGCAGCTTGGTTTGTTTGGTCAGCCCATTTGAGCTTGGTGTTTATATAAACTCCTAGTGTTCGTTTAACACAGATATTCTCTAGTTGACTTTCATTTCCAGCATTGTCCTCCATGTAAAAAAGAGTCATTGAGATACAATGATCTGCCGTGAAACTTTAAAACTTTACATTCGCTGATGCTGAAATCCATACACCACATGGACAAAATCAAAGTTTGACAACTAGTTGACAATCATCAGCAAACAATTTACAACAATTTATGACAAGTTCTGATATAATTGATAAAAATAAGAAACAATAGTGGTCCAATAACAGAGCCTTGGGGCACATCACTACCACCTCAATCCAATCTGAACAAACCTACCGCAAAACAACACGCTGCTTCCTTTTGCTGAGAAAGTGTTTCAACCAAACTATAATTTTTGCGCAATAACCATAACCAACCAATTTGAGTTAAAGCAGGATGTGAGATACCCTCTCAAATGCTTTGGCAAACCAAATGCTTTTAAAAGAACTAGCAAAGCTGCACATCCATCACTAAATGCTTCAGTAATAATACTAAGCACCTCTAAAAGATTAGTTGTGCATGATTTTAGTTTTACAAATCCATGTTGATGAGGTGACAATAGATTGTTCAAGAATAAATGATTATCCATCATATCACGTACAATTTTCTCCATAAATTTGCCGACTGTAGAGGTCAAACAGATTGGCTTATAATTACCTGGATCTGTCCGTAAACCTTTTTTAAATATTGGTGTAATGTTTGCCTGTTTCTAAACATAAGGATCCAGGCCTGACTCGAATGAATTTATAAACAAAAGTGAAAGTGGTACACTAAAACTTTTGCTACAGTTTTTTAATACAAACGGATGGATACCATCAATACCAGTACCTTTGGTATTATCTAACTTATAAAGTAGTAATTCAATTTTATTTGGACAAAAAAGTGTTTCAAGAATCGGTTCGCAGCAGGCTTTAGTACGAAGAGGAAACCCAGTCACGAAGCGACATCAATTTGATATCAGAATGATATCAAAACTTTCTCAAGTTATGATATTAAAAAATGATATCATTATGACAACATAATGATATCGCAACTTTCGTTGATTAACTTATTTTATATTGGAGTTTTGTATTTTAGTTATAAAGCAACGTAAAAATACAGTTTTTTTTTCCCAGTCTAGAAAGGAGATCAATTGGATATCAGAATGTTATCAAAACTTTCTCAAGTTATGATATCAAACAATGATATCATTATGATAACATAATGATATCACAACTTTAGTAGGATTAGCTTAGTTTATATTGGAGTTTTTATATTAGTTATAAAGCACCGTAAACATTAAGGTTTTCTCTCCCAGCCCAGAAGTGAGATCTTTTAGATATCAGAATGTTATCAAAATTTTCTCAAGTTATAATATCAAATAATGATATCATTATAATAACATAGCAATATCACAACTTTAGTTAGCTGACTTAATTTATATTGGAATTTTATATATTAGTTATAAAGCACCATAAACATTAAGTTTGTCTCTCCCAGTCTACAAGCAAGATCAGAATGGTATCAAAATTTTCTCAAGTTATGATATCAAATAATGGCATCATTATGATATCAAAGCGATATCATAATATTACCAAGTTAACTTATTTTATTATCTATTTTATATAACAGCTTTAAGGAACCGTAGGCGTTATGGTTTTCTCTTATTATGTTCAAGTAGCATGTTTGAATTTTTAAAATCATTTAATGATATCATTATTATGTCAAAAACTTATCATGCTGTGATATAAAATACAAATTGCTTCCGTATATACTAATTTGCGGAAAAACCTAAAGAAAGAGATAGAAATAATGAAAAAACGTCTGAGTTAAAAGTAGTTATTTAAAAATATTTAAAAAAAAAATTATGATATTATTATGATATCATAGCTATATCGACACTTTACCAAGTTAACGTATTTTATTATCTAATACTTACATAGGATTATCTAATTTTATTATCTTATATTTATAAAACTTGTTTTATTATCTTAATATTTGCATTATTTTATTATCTAATTATCTTATTTTATTATCTAATATTTACTTATTTTATTATATAATATTTACAAGGAACTGTAGATGTTATGGTTTTCTCTATCTATATTCAAGTAGCATGTTTTGAACTTTTAGACTCATTTTATGATATCATTATGATATCAAAAACTAATCGTGCTGTATAAAATACAAATTGCTTCTGTTTATACTAATTTGCTTGAGAACGTCTGAGTTAGAAATGATAAAAAAGCGTCTGAGTTAGAAATAAGTATATCAAGATGGCAGAAAGATACCCGAGCGACAAAGTTAAAAAAAACGGTACAAAATTAATTTTAGACTCATTTCATTGTTGTTTTTTAAATTTTAAAATGTAAATATAAAGTCAGTGCTGTGGCAAAAAACAACATAGTTTATATTATTATAATACCAGATTGTTTTTTTATGTTGTTTTTTGGTTCAGAGAAGGGCTTGGTGATTTATAATCAGTAGCGAAACTTCAAATTCTCCCCCCCTACCCCCGCACCAAATTTTTAAAAAGGGACCCACATCCCACATACAACCTAAAATTAGCTTGAAAATGGGCCTCTTTTTTCCTGCCCCATCCCTGCGGACCCGTAGTTGCGACACTGTTCATAATGCTTTCTACGAAAAAAAAAAAATAAGAGAATTATCTTAGTTGAAAGTATCATGAGCCATATATGGCTGTAAATTTCATTATTAACTAAAGCCATGTTTTCATTATTAACTAAAGCCAATGCCGACTAAATCCTCATGATACTTTCTACTTGATGACATTCATGATACATTATGAATGTCATTAAGTAAAGTATGTATTCGGCTGCAGCCAATTGTTTTATATAGCCGATAATTTCAAACTCAACAGGGCAAATCGAACCGGTTTGAAACAGTTTATAAAAGAAACTAAATGATTTTATTTGGAGCTTTATCATAACCGAGTGTAAATAATATTATATATAAAGGCATAAATAAGATGTCGAATATTCGATTTTTAGTGTAACTTTTAAAGCTTTAAAATTGAATTAAATAACTTTGTTTATCTTTTCAGACACACCTATTATATGATTCTTAATTAGGAAGAAACTTTCTATCATAAAGAGTTATTAAAAATGAAAAACATAAATATGATCTTATTTATATTTTCCATTTTTATGTAGTTAAGTTAAAGCTCCAAATAAAACCATTTAGTTTATTTTATTAACTGACTATGTTTCAAACCGGTATAACATTTAGCGCTAAATAAAGTTATAATATCATTGATGAAAAAATTTTGTTGTTATACATTACTTATAAGTAGCGCTACTGCAGTTTCTCTTAGTAACATTTTATATTAAACAGAAAATGTTAATTTTCTATTTAATATTTATCATAAAATAGAAAATAAAAAGAGACGATTTTTATTTTCTATTTTATGATAATATTATTAACATTATCATTGATAAATAATATTGTTTATTAATGATAATGTTAATGATAATGTTTATCATTAATAATATTTTTGTCATAGTCTAGTCTATGACAAAAATATTTTTATTGACCTGTACTATTTTTGCTATATACTATACACATGTACTATTTTTATCACAGACTCTATATAGTCTATAATCAAAATAGTACAGGTTTTATACAGTCAAGGAAAGTCAGTGGCAAAAGTGTCTTTTCAACTAGGTCAGGGTTTGTCAGGAAATTCACAAACACATATATTATATATATATATATATATATATATATATATATATATATATATATATATATATATATATATATATATATATATATATATATATATATATATATATATATATATAATATATATATATATATATATATATATATATATATATATATATATATATATATATATATACATGTATATATTTGTTATTATTATTATTATTATTATTATTATAAACAAAATAAATTTTGAATGAACAAAGTTATTATAAATCAATAATAAAAATTATTGTATCAGTTTTGTTCATAAATCTTTCAAGAGAAATTTTTTTTTTTTAAAGTTTGTTATTGGTGCTTTCCACACTGAGCACATTGCCATTATTCCGCGGCCATGGTTGTATAAAGTTTGTGGAATATGGAAATGCCGATGGACTTCCTCCCTGGAAATAACTAAAAACTACAGTATACTTAATCCAAACTGGAGAGAGTATGAAATTACAAAAATTTATGCTAAGACAAGTTTATATGACTTTAATTTGTTGTGTTTCTTGTAAGATAAATTATTGTCTGAAATCACACACCTTTTAATTTTTTCCTAAGATACCTTTAACAAAGCAGAAAATATTTAACAGACCAATCTAGCAAGTCTGATGGATCAGCGGTAACACTGACTGATGTTGAAAATTCTATAACTTCAGCTACAACACCGCTTGGTGCTACATCTTACAAAAAAATATTAAGAACGCCGCCAAATATAGATAATAGCTCTGAAGAATTTAGAATGAAAATAATGAAAATTAGAACAAGAAACAGTTTTTCTGTCTATAAAGATTATAGTGAAAGTGATGACAGTAAGAGTTTTTATAAAGTTTTTTTCCTTACATTTATGTATTGATAATTTTTACTTCCTCAATGCTAAGTTTAAAAATCAATTGTTCAGTTTAAATCATGTTTCTATTCAATATATTTTTTGCAATATATTTATTAAACCTTTAATAAATTGAGCTTGTTACTGTTGTGATTATCAATAATTTATTATCAATATATGATTCAGGAAAATTGCATGTTTGTATAAACAGGTAAAAAGATCTCAGAATGCTAGGTGTTTTTTGAGATCCTGCTGAGCTCAAAATAATTTTAATAAACAGTCACTTTTTTCATGGACCTTAAAATGTTAGGTTAAATTATTGGTAGTATTGTTACCAATATTGTTTAGATAATTTCTGCTTAAAATATTTATTCATTTTTTATTTTATTTTTATTAATCATTTTTTCATAATGTTTTTATACCTCCTTGCAGTACAGCATCATGTCAAGGTAATACTGGCTCAATTTCAACAATGGTCAAACAAATTTATTCAATAGGACCAACAAAATAGCTTCATTTTGAATATGATAAAAGATAAGGTTAACGATTTCTTTTATTCATCTAAATCTTTCTAGAATGAACATATCATTATGTTTTTTAAGAATTACACGTAGTTTTTTCTTTTTAACTTAACATTACATTCTTTATTCAGATTATTCAACACTTTCAGTAATTAATGACAAAAACAGCACTCAATGTTGCCTTTTTAAAACCTGACCTTCTGAGGTCCCACTGCATTTACATGTAAGTATCTTAAATAGTTATATAACTATATAACTATTTAAGATTTTTATCTGTAAGTATCTTAAATAGTTATGTAATTATTAATACTCAGTTCAATTTCTCTATTAGGTGAACAATCAGATTGCAGCAAGAATTCACAACAAATAAAATTGAAATCACTTCCTAACTTTCCCCGTAAAAAAATTTTTCACACTTATTTTAAAATAAACTAAGTTACTATTTAAAAAGCAAGATTTCCTTATAAAATGTGTCATTACTTAAAAAGGATTTAAAGGTAATAGATAAGGAACTCTCTAAAATTATAGTGCTTTTAAAAGAAAATCAACCTACAGCAAGCCTAATGACAATGAAAGATAAAGAATCCCTTCCATCTGTAAGCGCAAATGAAATTAAAGTTTCAATTACTATTATGCAACCAAGACATGAAGGTAAAAAACTATTAGTTTTATTACCTTTTATTACCTTTTAGTACCTTTACTACACAATAAATATTTCATAATTGATCTTAAGCATTTTGAATAAGAATATTGATAGATGTAAAATAGCCCTAAGAATGTCTTCTCTAATAGTATTCCTATAAGGAATATAAGAATATATATATTCCTATAAGAATGTCTTCTCTAATAGTATTCCTATAAGTTAACAATTTCCTGTACACATCGTTGCTGTAATATACTTTTAATAACTTCCTGTACAAATCTAAATCAGTTTAAAAAAATTATAATTAATTAGACTAAATTACCAATACTTTAACAGGTTCAGTTTTACCTGATTTGTAAGGTAAAATTGAACACTTTTTTTTTTCAAATAAACTCATTTTACTAAAAAACTTTCAATGATTTTTTTTTAACATATTCGAATAGAGCTCATTTTTCTCAACAAAAAGTAAAAAAAATTATTGAATAAATCATTTTATTATATGAAAAAAGTTATTTACAAATATGTGTTCAGTTTTACCCCGTTTTACTCTATATATATTAATATTATAAAAATAATATTTTATTTTCAATCCCCTAATTTATAAAAAAAATTTTAAACATTATCTTTGATATAGCACGCAGTTTGGAATTAACCAACTTTGAGTTGTCAGACATTTCAGAACAAGATAACTTAGATTTAAAGGACTCTTCTGTGAATGATGACAATTCACTGCAGTCACTGTTAAAGAAATTACATGGTTTGTACAATGTTATTATGTTTCCCCAGAAAGTATACTTTTATGTTAATAGTGGTGTATTCAGACCTATGTTGAGACTGGTGTTCTTAAAGATGTTTGAGAACACTAAACATTCTTTTTTTTTTTTTTTTTTGAAAGGGTGTATTTTCTAATTTCATCTTTTTATTTGTTTTTGATATTATTTAGTTATTACTCTAAATTCATACCAAAGCATTAAAGAATTAACTTTGAGAGTTTGTAGAATAGAGGATGATTTGTGCAATATCAAATTGTCGCTAGTAGAAAATATAGGGGAGGACAATCAAGACCAAATGTTTGTAATGGAGCAATACATTACCAGTCATACTTTCCAAAACTTTTGTAAAATGCTAGAAGAGGATTCTGTGTTTCGAAAGTTAGTGGTAAGCATAATTAATTATTTTTAAATTGAGTACTCTACAGTTCCAATATAAAAAGCAGCTAGCATTAATTATGCAGCCCAGTAAATTTAAAATTTGTCCTTTTATACAACTTGGTTTATGTTATTTAAATGATTTTAAACTTTCTGTTTTGACTGTAAAAAATATTTATTTACAATGTTGAGACATATACCCTAACGTTTTTTTTTTTTTTTCAGATAAAGTTCATAATTATTAATTATGATCAAAAATCAATTGGGCCTTGTGTTAGTTCAATATTAAGAGCATCTTTATCAGATAATCTAATGACTTTGTTAAATTGTACGGGCTCCAGGGGCCAAAAAAAACTGCCTCCTGTATTTGAACGGGGTATTTACTGTAAGTTTACAACTTAAAAATGTGTCTGCTTTTTTTCTTTAACAACCCGACGGGCATTTGTTTTTAAAAGTTACGATCTAAATGTATTTTAAATGTCTTTTAAACGTCTTTTAAACATTAATGTTTAAAAGACGTTTAAAAGACGTTTAAAACACATTTAGAACGTAACTTTTAAAAGCAAATGCCCGTCGGGAAAGTATGATGCATATACTCACTGTTACAGGGTTTATGCGAAATATAAAACATTTTTTAAGAAAATATAAAACATTTTTTAAGAAAATATAAAACATTTTTTAAGAGAATATAAAACATTTTTTAAGAAAATATAAAACATTTTTTAAGAAAATATAAAACATTTTTTAGGAAAATATAAAACATTTTTTAAGAAAATATAAAACATTTTTTAAGAAAATATAAAACATTTTTTAAGAAAATATAAAACATTTTTTAAGAAAATATAAAACATTGTAGTTGAATCAATTGTGCAATTATGGTACATAAAGTTATTCATAAATTTCTAAAGAACAAAGAGTATCTTTTATATAATTATAACTCATTATACTTAAAGATATAATATAAAAAGCAAAGTATCCACTTTAGTAAAATTCTTGTCTTGCTATGCCTTTCAAAACCCATCTTCTCATATTATAATACCAACCACAAAAATCAACGCCAATTGTCGGTATAAGCGAAGTTAAAGTAGCCTCAACTTCATTGCTAGTTTTTGGAAACGGCCAATATATATTATAATGTATAATTAGCTTTAAGACAACTAAAGTATTCCTCAATCGGGTTCAATTGTGGTGAATAAGGTGGCAAAAAGTAAACTGAAACACTGGATTGGCTGAGCAAATTGATTACATCTCTTCTACGGTGAAATGCACAATTATCCAATACTAGTACAGAATGGGGATACGTTTGGAAATGCGGTCTTAAATTGTTGGTTATAAAATCGCAAAAAAGATTGCCATTATAGGCACCATCCACTATCTTAAAGCTTAAAATACCATTAACTGTTATAGCGGCCATGAGACTTACATTCTTTCCACGATTTGCTGGCACTGTAACAAAACATTTTGTATTCTTTATAGAATAGCCATACTGTTTAGAAGTATGTAAATTAAAGCCTGTTTCATCTAGAAACACTAAGTTATTGTCAGGAATCGAATTAATAGTCCTGCAAAAACTTTGTCTTAAATCAACGTTTTGCGGCGAATTCCTTTCTTTTGGTACTAATGTAAGTCGTTTTCTAGTGAACTCCATCGACTTCAAATACTTAGATATTGTTGGTATAGATGCATTAATATTCCTTTCAACGAGAATGTTTCTCAATGATGCTAACGTATGAGATGGATCATGCTCAATTAACATTCGAATTTCAGATTTAAGTGTCTCGTCATAAGAGCTGCGCCTTCCTTTTTTTACTGATGCGATTTCATCATCACTAAGTCCTTTACAGATTTTATCAGAAATAGAACGTGCTGCAGAAACTGATATTTCAACTTCTTCCGCAATTTCTTTTAACTTCATTTCTTTAAGAATTGACTTTCATATTATTTTTACAATATCCTTTGTAATAAGTGTTCTTTTTTTTCTTTGTCTCTTGTTTTCCATTTATTGATTAAAACAACAAAATAAAGCTTGAATAATATATTTTTACAGATCTCTTTCTTTGTTGTGAATAAACCACATAAATTCCATAGTATAGAGTAATTACGTAATTGAATATTTTATGTTAAAATATTAAACATTTAATTAACTAATTAAATGTTTTATATTAGCATAAAATTTGTTTTATATTTTCTTTAAAAATGTTTTATATTTTCTTTAAAAATGTTTTATATTTTCTTAAAAAATGTTTTTATATTTTCTTAAAAAATGTTTTATATTGTCTTAAAAAATGTTTTATATTTTCTTAAAAAATGTTTTATATTTCGCATAAACCCTGTAATATATCAATAACTTTTATTATTTTGCTTTATTAATTATTTTTTTCTTATAATTTTGGTAAATTTTTATTTTAAAATTTACTGAAATTATAAGTATATTCTTCAAAACTTATTTACAATTCAGCTACTATCAAGTCTTTTTACGAGAAAGAAAAAATTACAGTTATGCGTGAAATAAAAGGATAAGAAACCACAATAAAAAAAGAAACAGAAAAGCGAATTTGAACGATATTTTTCTAATTCTAAATGCAGAATTAAAGCGAAACTTAAAGATAAGCCTGTATTTGATAAATCAGATTCTGATGACAATTAATTGTAGTAATATAAGTTTATCTTATTTATCTTATTTATTTATTTATTGTAGTAATATAAGTCTATCTTATATTGTATTTTTTTTAAAAAACGCCCTAATAGTCTTTGCAATATTTTTAAGCAGCTCCATATTTTTTTGTAACAACCTATTTAATATTTTTATGTAAACATCATATATATACATATATATATATTATATATATATATATATATATATATATATATATATATATATATATATATATTAATATATATATATATACACAGCCTGCCAAATTGAGGGTTCAGTTTGCCGAAGAAATATAAAACAGCTGTCGGCATTGCTGAATGCCGAGAGCTGTTTTGTTTATAAAACAGCTGTCGGCATTCAGCAATTCCGACAGCTATTTTATATTTCTTTACTTCGGCATCTTTGTTTTACGTCAGCATACAATTGCCGACCTGAATCTTTTAAAGTGTCAGTATACAAAAATAAATATATGTAAAAAAATAATATTTGTTCAATATGAGTTTATTATTTAGCTAATGTAATTACTTTTTTCCAATTCACATTAGGCAAGTTCTATTAAAAAAAATTAATTATTTTTTTTTTTAATTCTTTTTTTCAAATTCTCAAATTTATTCAAACATAGCAAAAATTTTTGCCGAGTACCTCGGTATATATATATATATATATATATATATATATATATATATATATATATATATATATATATATATATTTATGTATATATATATATTTATGTATATATATATATAAATATATATATATATATATATATATATATATATATATATGTATATATATATATATATATACATATATATATATATATATATATATATATATTTATATATATATATATATATATATATATATATACATATATATATATATATATATATATATATATATATATATATATATATATATATATATATATATATATATATATATATATTAATATATATATTATTATATATGTATATATTATTATATATATATATAATAATATATACATTAATATATATATATATATATTCAAAATTTATAATATTCGCTGGGCCCTGATTGCAAAAGTTTAATTTCGGAAGATATCTTGCGAAATACATTTTATAATTTTAAATAGATTTGTACGTTCTGTTAGAATTCAAATTAATTCCTGATACTGATAAAAGATTTTTTTTTTTAACCTTTCAAAGTAAATCAGTAAACAACTTTGATTAAAACAAATCATCTTCGATGTTGAAGTTGATTTGTTTTAATATATATATATATATATATATATATATATATATATATATATATATATATATATATATATATATATATATA